CTACTGTGCTCTGAGGCCCACAGTGACAGGAAACACCACAACTCTGTACAAAAACCTCTGGAGAGAAGACAACACAATACTCCACAACATCCACTAGAGGGAGTCACACACTGATAAACTTCTATGGTATGTCATGATGAAGGTTTGATGTTTCTCAATTCAGAAATGAAACTAGTTCAACAGATGAGTCTCCTCCCAATGACTGCAGAGGTGTTTGATGACAGAGAACTGTTTGATTCCAGCTGTGAACATCAGACCAAACTCTACTCACAAAACTGAATCATACTGAACATTCAGTTACAGCATCTCACCTCTACAAACCTGGAACAACTTACTGTTATTTTGTTCTTATCAGCTCTCATAGGTATGTATGAAATAAATGGACAGTGTGTTGTGATTTTGAAAATAAAGAGTATTTCAGTTTGGACAACAGTCGTTATTATCACATTAGAGGGAGTCACTTACTACTATCTTGAATCACTCGGGTGGCTGTGAACTATGGTAGTCGGTGGTCTCAAAATCCAACGGTCAGGTTGTGATCCCCAGATCCTGCATTCACATCCAAGCATCCACAGGAAAGACACTGAACCCCAAACTGTGGCGGTGTATGAATGTGAGTTCATACTGATGGACTCAACATAGCTGTGTTGGGGCCAGCCAATGAGACAAAGCCTCTGGCCTGTAGCCCCTCTCAAAAGCCTGATGTGAGTATATTTGGAGGGAAAATGACCAAGGGACCTGAAAATGTTTTATTGCCTGCATCACCCACAGCCCCTCACACCTAGATATGAGAAAAGTGGAGCCTGGACTTTCTGCCATCATTGGCTGAGACCTGAGGGATATAAATTTGGCAATTTTACAAAATAAATAATTATGATTAATTAATTATTAATACATGCTATTTTAAATTCAGATTTATTATTGTATTTATTACTATTACTTATTTATTACTATATCAATTCATCATAATTATTGATATTATCTTAATAGCCACATTTTTACTTTAAATCCCAAATGGAGCCTCTACCATCAGTGTGTGAATGTGTATGAATGGATGAGTTAATACTGATGGACTCTTAACACAGCAGCTTCAACCATCAGTGTGTGAATGTGTATGAATGGATGAGTTATTACTAATGGACTCTTAACACAGCAGCTTCAACCATCAGTGTGTGAATGTGTATGAATGGATGAGTTATTACTAATGGACTCTTAACACAGCAGCTTCAACCATCAGTGTGTGAATGTGTTGGGGTGACCTGTGGTGTAAAAGGGCTTTAAGTAATCAGAAGACTAAAAAAGCTCCATACAAGCTCAAGTGCATTCATCGTGAAAGAAATCAGACATAAAACCACAGAAAGTGTCATTTCATATATGTAGAAATTACATATCTACTTTATGCCTTTTTATAGAACATACAGTAGGTTTCTTTTACAATCATAAGATCATTAGTCATCAAATGTGACAGAATGCATATTGTAAACATAATGCAATTTTCAAGAAGAAAACATATTTATAATAAATACTATAATTAGACACAAAAACATCTTTATATTTAGATTGTTGTGAGAGTACAAGTAAATCCAAAAGATAAAAAATAATCTGTTGCAGCATGTTGTCATTCCTGAGCCACATTACATTCCTATAAGAGACAAACAAAGATGATTTCATCTGTATCTTTTGCAGTACTCACCACTGCACTACTACCTTATTTAGTCTTGTACATATTGTACACAGGGTTCATTCCCGGGTCCTCTCAGTTTTTAATTACAGTATATGCTGACCATGATATTGTTTAAATTATTTGATCAGGTTTCCTTTGTGTTGATGAAGATTAATGGATCTTGTAAAACTGTTCAAGAACTTCACAGAGTCTGGACAAAAACCTGCTGAAAGTCCATTTTACACACAATTGTAATTTTTTTTTATCTCCACGAGTAGCCAACATTATCAACTAAAAAAGTGAACTATTCTCACACTTCTGGCTGAACATCAGGTCAGGTCTCTTGTTGGTTTAAACCAACAAGAGATGTTGTAGAGATGGAACTTTGGCTGTGGATCATTCTGGCTTCTCTTCTATTTGGTGAGAAAGAAACAGCACAACACATTTGTTTACAGCTTTCTCTTTTTTGTGTCTGTTCTTAATGCTAGGTAACTTATTTATCCTCAAGCCTTTTTTTCATCAATCAAAAATTAATCTCTTCCTCTTTCTGTTCTCTTCTCAGAGTGTAAAGGAGAAGACAGAGTGATCCAGCCAACAGAAGATGTCTTTGCTTCTGAAGGAGACACAGTCACACTTGGTTGTACATTTAAGACCATAATCCAATATCCCTTTTTGTTCTGGTACAGGCAAGAAATGGGTGATTTTCCAAAGTACATGTTGAGATGCTACTCAGAAGACGTTTATAAAGCTCCTCAGTTCAAGACAGAGAGATTTAAAGCTGCAATCAACAGGACATCAGTTCCTCTGAAGATCCAGAAGCTTCAGCTGACTGACTCTCCTGTGTACTACTCTACAAAAACCTCTGGAGAGAAGACAACACAATACTCCACAACATCCACTAGAGGAGTCACTTACTATAAACTGGATTCGGTCAGGAGGGAAACTTACAAGACAGATCATTAAAAGCGAGCAGAGTGTCAGTAAAAGATGTTCAGTGTAAAGTTGTCAGTCGGGGAATAACACAGGGCTGTGAATGAGACCTGTCTCTGTGATCAGGCTCCTCCTTCTAATCCTCTAACTTAGTGTTGATGTGGACTAAACACAAGAAACTTGATGTTTCTCAATTCAGAAATGAAACTAGTTCAACAGATGAGTCTCCTCCCAATGACTGCAGAGGTGTTTGATGACAGAGAACTGTTTGATTCCAGCTGTGAACATCAGACCAAACTCTACTCACAAAACTGAATCATACTGAACATTCAGTTACAGCATCTCACCTCTACAAACATGGAACAACTCACTGTTATTTTGTTCTTGTCAGCTCTCATAGGTATGTATGTAAAGGAAAATGTGGGGTGTTTAGGCAAATAATATGTATCTAAATTTTAAAAGAAGTTGAATTAAAACAATAGATTTTTGAGGTGTGATGGATTGTGTTGCATTAAGAATTGAATTTCAATAACATACAATTCTGTATCATATCTTCTTTTTTAGAATCCAGCTATGAAGAGCTCACTCCAGTTAAGAATGAAGAGTTCAGTTTAGAAGGCAGCACTGTTACTCTGTCATACAGTTACCCTGAACTGTCAACTGGTGATATTTTCTTCTGGTATCGACAACATCCAGGAAAACAACCACAATTTATCGCCTCTCAAACATCAACAGGACCACTTTCCAATTCCGTCTCTGGACTGTCTGTTACAGTGAGAGAGGATAAAAAACATCTGGATCTACAGATCTCCTCTGCTGCACTGACTGACTCTGCTGTGTACTACTGTGCTCTGAAGCCCACAGTGACAGGAAACACCACAACTCTGTACAAAAACCTCTGGAGAGAAGACAACACAATACTCCACAACATCCACTAGAGGGAGCATCAGACTGTGAAACATCAAGTGTAGGTATGGAGATGTAGGCTTGACTGTTTTGTAGTGATGATAAAGAGCCTCTGTGATAGGTGCTCTCCACATATCCAGAACTGTTTGAATGAAACATGAATTTAGTTTGGAAACTATAGATATAAATGAAGCTCTTAATATACAAAAAGTTAATATGATGTGATGGTTTGTCATCATATTTAATCTGGATCAAATCGTTAGAATAAAGTACCATCATAAACAGTTGGCATCACAAAATTAGAAGTTAGTTTCTTTTGTTCTGTCTTTGATGAACACGTTCTTCTTTGGCTGTGATTTCTGTGGTGTACCACAGGGTTGAGTTCTAGGCTCGGCCTTTTTATTTGCAAGTTGAATTTGATTTGAAATAAATTAGTCTAGTTTCTTTTGTTGTTGGTGTTGATGAACAGATCTTATCTTAATCCAGTCATAGATGGCCCTGTGTTACTACATTTGAGATGTAAGTGTTAAGAGGAGGAGCTACACAAATGAATATGAACAGTGTCACTTTGGAACAGAAGAGCTGCTGTGTTCTCTCTACTGTTCATTTATCACAGGAACAACAATGCAGCTTCCTTTGGTTTGGATGATGATAGTATTCTTTCATACTGGTAAGTACTGAAAAGACTTATGAAGATCTAAGACATGAAACATGTCTGTCCAAATAGACAACTACAGTCACAGTGAAATATATGTATTTCTCTTTAGGATCCTCTAAGGAATTAGTGACACCATTCAGAGAGGTAATGATGGCTGTTGATGGAGAAAATGTGACTCTCTCCTGCAACTATTCAGGCTCTGTCACCAACCTCTACTGGTATCAGAAGAAATCAGGTTCATCTCCACAACTTCTCATAGGAGGATATTCAGAAAAAACAGAGAAGTTGTCCACAAGACACGACAAACAATCTAATGAGTTTCATCTGGAGATCTCCTCTGCTGCACTGACTGACTCTGCTGTGTACTACTGTGCTCTGAGGCCCACAGTGACAGGAAACACCACAACTCTGTACCAAAACCTCTGGAGAGAAGACAACACAATACTCCCCAACATCAACCAGACGGAGTCACATACTATAAACTGGATTCGGTCAGGAGGGTAACTTAGAAGACAGATCATTAAAAGCGAGCAGAGTGTCAGTAAAATATGTTCAGTGTAAAGTTGTCAGTCGGGGAATAACACAGGGCTGTGATTGAGACCTGTCTCTGTGATCAGGCTCCTCCTTCTAATCCTCTAACTTAGTGTTGATGTGGACTAAACACAGAGATCACAGCCTTCTTTATACTCTCTGTAACTCAGAGTTATTAACACTGCAGATATGATGCCTCTGGTTATCTCAGTGTTGCTGGCTGCTGTGTGTCTTGGTATGAACTCTGTTTCTTTGATATCAATCCAACACTGACATGATTCTTTAACAGCAAACTAATACTATATGTTCCTGTTTTACAGAATGTATGGCACAAACAGACAACGTGCTGCAACCAGAAGGAGATGTGACTGCTACTGAAGGAGAGGCAGTAACTCTTGGCTGTCAATACAACAGCAGTTCATCAAATGATTATCTCTACTGGTACAAACAGGATGGAAACAACAGCCCCAAATTCATACTGAGCCGCTTTAAGATTGGAGAAGGGAAAACAATGAAAGAGTTTGAGGAGAGATTTTCATCCACACTGGATTCTACTTTAAGATCAGTTCCTCTGAAGATCCAGAAGCTTCAGCTGACTGACTCTGCTGTGTACTACTGTGCTCTGAAGCCCACAGTGACAGGAAACACCACAACTCTGTACAAAAACCTCTGGAGAGAAGACAACACAATACTCCACAACATCCACTAGAGGGAGCATCAGACTGTGAAACATCAAGTGTAGGTATGGAGATGTAGGCTTGACTGTTTTGTAGTGATGATAAAGAGCCTCTCTGATAGGTGCTCTCCACATATCCAGAACTGTTTGAATGTAACATGAATTTGGTTTGCAAACTATAGATATAAATGAAGCTCTTAATATACAAAAAGTTAATATGATGTGATGGTTTGTCATCATATTTAATCTGGATCAAATCATTCGAATAAAGTACCATCATAAACAGTTGGCACGACAAAATTCAATGTCAATTTCTGTCTTTGATGAGGAAGTTCTTCTTTGGCTGTTATTCCTCGTGGTGTACAACAGGGTTTAGTTCTAGGCATGAACAGTTAAAAAAAAAAAAAAGAAAAAAAAGAGAAAACTTGATTTTTCTGTTTTCAGACAGATTTGATCTATTCTGTTTTAATTTCAGATTTAAAATTTTCTGTTATCAGGAAAGTTTTGAAGCATGTTTGAAGAGCAGGTTCAGTATAGCAACATTTGCATTATTTTGTTTCTTTGTTAAAAAAATAAAAATAAAATAAAAAGAGCACAGCTTTAAGTGAAGCAACAACTCCATCTATGGGTGTCCCATTTACATAGAGCAGTCATGTAGCACAGTCATGGTTAGTTAGTCACTGTTTGTGTATGTAACCGGCAGCCTCTGGATTAAAAGCATATACATTGCTACGTCGTTGTCCGCCTGTTTCATCTCGGGGTTTTACAAACATTACACGGTGTAATGGTCTTTAAACTAACATTTATTGACATGAAGATGCAATTAAGCAGGAGAAAAGCGACTTTAAAGCAGAACAAAATGAAATAGGCTATAAGAACAAACTAGGCTCATGGTGGGAGCCAACCTTATTTTAATCATATTTGACAAAGTAAACTTAGCCTAATTCATTTGAAAGTGCATTATCAAATGTTCTTTTTATACGCTACAGCCTTCCTAACATATAACATTAAAGCAACCTGGATTTTTATTCAGACAAAGCGGTGAATCTTCACTAATATTCACGTGATACGGACTGAATGAAAGAATGAGGAAAACCCAGTTTCCCTCATTTCTTCTTTATGTGTTGACTTTGATATTTTAAAAATGATTTGATCTATTTTCATTTGTGTAATAATAGTAAGAATGGATTATATATAAATTCATTAACATGTTCATCAGGTTCAGAACATTTTAAATGTGTTCCAGTATGCAGTTCAGAGACGCGTTCCAGGATGTCACTTCTAGAATTTCTGCACTACATTTTTACAATTCCTCCAGGGGGAGACATTATTGACCAGGTAATGAACTACTGTGTTCAAACATTATATTAATACCAGCTGCTGCTGTAAAGAGAACACTTCAACACAGTGAACATTGAACATCAGAGAGTTCCTCCTGTTGGTTTAAACCTGGTTTTAGAAATGGAAATTTGGCTTTGGATTATTCTGGCTGCTCTTTTCTTTGGTAAGATATAAAGCACAACATGTCTTCAGTATTTTTAAGTTCTGAGCAGAAATCTATGAACATTTGAATTATTTTGTTCTTGCAGTAAGACCGAACAACTGATATTTTCCACTGTCTCATCTTCTCAGTCTCTTGAACAATATTTAATCTAATGGCATCATTTTCTCTACGTTTTACAGGACTAACAGCTGGAGACAAAATCTATCCTGCAGTCGATGAAGTCAGTGGAACAGAAGGAGAATCTGTCACACTCAGATGTAACTATGAGACAACAGACGATGATGTTTACCTCTACTGGTACAGACATCATTCTGACCTCCAGGCACCTCAGTTTATACTCTGGAAAGGAGCAAGAGATTATAGCAATGTTGCAGTTGCTCCTGTTTGTTTTTTTACTTTCTTAGTACTTTACTGTCAGAGTCAGAGGGAGTATCGGGAGTGCAGCTTGATGTGCGTCACTAAAATGCGGTTGCATCAGGATGTTCCCGACAACAACGTCTCTTTCGACCAGGATGCCAGAAAACAGAAAACACTACAACTCTGTACAGAAACACAAGCTGACATGATGACAACCTGCTGCTGGGAGCATTTCCTAAATGTTAAAACTGCAATTTCAATCTCCACCAGAGGGCGGCATTACTACTGCAGCAATGAGTTCAACCCTTCTTGAAATAAAAACTGTTGTTGAGAAGAAAACAAATCACAGACTGAATGTTGAACATCAGAGAGTTCCTCCTGTTGGTTTAAACCTTGTTGTAGAGATGGGACTTTGGCTGTGGATTATTCTGGCTGCTCTTTTCTTTGGTGAGAGTCAAAGAACATATTCTGATTACTCTGTACATGTTTGTGTGTTTGATTCTCTAGCTACGTAACTTTTTTAACCTAGTGAGTATTTTTGTCAAAAATTAATCTCTTCCTCTTTCTGTTCTCTTCTCAGAGTGTAAAGGAGAAGACAGAGTGATCCAGCCAACAGAAGATGTCTTTGCTTCTGAAGGAGACACAGTCACACTTGATTGTAAATTTGAGACAACTGACACAGCCCCCTCTTTGTTCTGGTACAGACAAGAAATGGATGATTTCCCAAAGTACCTGTGGAAAAGCTATGGAAGTTTTTCAGGAAATGCTCCTGGGATCTCGGACGACAGATTTAATGTAACAATCAACGGAAAATCAGTTCCTCTGAAGATCCAGAAGCTTCAGCTGACTGACTCTGCTGTGTACTACTGTGCTCTGAGGCCCACAGTGACAGGAAACACCACAACTCTGTACAAAAACCTCTGGAGAGAAGACAACACAATACTCCACAACATCCACTAGAGGGAGTCACACACTGATAAACCTATGATTATTTCATTCATGATACAGTTGGGATAAAACCTTTAAGGAATTAGAGTAGTTTAAAGAGTCTCCTCCTCCTGACTGCAGAGGAGCCTGGATGACAGAGAACTCTTTAAATCAAGCTGTGAACATCAGACCAAACAGCTCACCAAACTTACTCATACTTGTTCTTCACTTACAGCGTCTCACCTCTACAAACATGGAACAACTCACTATTATCTTCATTTTAACTCTCCTTGGTATGTTTGTGTTTAATAAGAAATCTAAATGACAAAGAAGCTTTTAAAGAATTTGAGATCCAGTATGAATTTTTGGATCAGCCTAAGATCAATTTAACATTTCAAAAACACTTTCTAGAAAACAACACTTCTTTACTGATGACTGTTTTCTAGTATTGTTTGTTTGAACACAAGATGTT